TAGGTTGCGCTTTGGTTTGGGTGAATTTGCACTTGTTACTGGGTTGAAATGTAAGGGTGATACAACTATAGAGAGCATAGCAGAGAATAGGTTGATTTCAAAATATTTTGGGACTGCATCCGTGACATTGGCCCAACTAGCAGACTGTTTTAAGAAGAAGAAATGGGAAACAGATGATGATGCGTTGAAGATAGCAGTTCTTTATTTTGTGAACAGCTTCTTACTTTCTCAACTCAAAATAAAGGTTATTTCACGGTCTTACATTGACTTGGTTGAGTGCGGTGATTTTAATAATTATCCCTGGGGTATAGATATTTATAAAGCTACAATTGACTCGTGTTCCAACAAGTTTCAAGATAAGCCTTCTTTTTATAGACTCAGTGGCTTCCCGTTGGCTTTACAGATTTGGTTGTATGAATGTTTCCCAAGTTTGGATGGTCACTTTGCTGATCATATTGGAAACGAACTTCCACGAATTTTGAATTGGGTAGTCATGGGTCAAATACCGAATGAGCAAGTTGCTTTGTGAATGTCTAGCTTGCAATGCGAGCAGGTAATTTTCTCATAGTTTTATTGCCTTGCCTCTCTTAATTTTTTGGTACAGTAGTTTAGTCACAGTTGTAGCAATATCCCAGTTCAGTGATATACTCTGTTGGTATACATGTATACTATATTGGTATCATATGGTAATAGGGATCTTTTATCTTTCCATACTTTATTATCATTTCTATTTCTAACTAGTGTGCTTAATAATTGCAGCTAAAGAACATCACTCCAAGTGATGATGAGAAGCAACTATTTGATGTGCATCGTTTAAACTTTGAAATTGAAGTTGAGTGCACTGACAGTCAGCCCGATAGCTTTCAGGTTTTTGGCACTCAATTACCAAAGACATAAAGTATGCATGAAAGTACTGGAGGTGATTCCCAACCCACCAATGCTGAGATAATGAAGGAGTTACAAGGTTTGAAGCTTTTTGTAGAGACCAAGTTTGAGGAGGTGCTTGCAGCTATTGGTAGGCAATCAATGAAACCAGAGGAAAATTCAGTGGTATTGATCTTTTATATAATATAATGCTATAGTATATTGTTCAAAGATGCAATATATGCTTATAGGATACTATTCCATTCTTTACTTTTAGTACACGTAGTATTCTTGTAATATGTATAATAATAAAATTGTTAGTTTCTCATTTTCAGCATAAGCAACAGGATAATGATCCTGACTTTCGTGAGATGCATAATGATTATGACCACTTTGAAAGGGGCCACGTTGGGAATGATCCTGTAGCTATTGGAGATAGCACGCCCAAAGCGCCTTCTAGTATGTAAATCACAGATTTGTTTTTTTTTTAGTTGTTGTTTTTTGAAAGTAGTACTCTTGCTTATACTTTTATATGTTTAGTGTCTGATTTTGGCGGGGTTGGTCGAGATGGAGGTGCTACTGGTGTCAATGTGAAGAATGCCACATCAAGTCATGGCGTAGTTAATGATGATTTGTGTTCTGGTAAAATGTTTTATATGTAATTTTTCTATTCTTTTTTTATTTATTTAACTCTATGTATTTGTGCGTTCACTAACCTTTTTTTTAACACTTTTTCCAGTCCCCTTCGTAAATGAGCATGATTTTAGCTTGGATTCTAACTTTGAACTGTCTGCATCTGCAATTGATCAAATCACTGCCATTACACAACAAGCAACATATAAGCAGTCATCCCATGATGTTAAAAAGTCGGGTCCTGCTCCGCTGCCATCAGGAATCCCTGCACAGACACAAGAAAATGTTGTTATTGAGTCTAATACTGTTCCACAAGGTACGATGTTGATGTTACTAATTCTGTGGTTAGTATGTAAATGATAGGTTCCTGATAGTTTTTTTTATTTAAGTAGCGATGCTGATAATGCTTTTATGTGTTCAGCATCTCGGGTTGATGGTGTTGGTCAAGTGGATGTTGGTGGCAGTAATGTGATTTGCCTTCTGGTAATGTCTTCTATATATAACTTTTCATTCTTTTTTTTTAAATTTCTTAACTTTGTATATTTGTTTATTCACTAGCATTTTATAATTTAAGCTTCATGTCGTCACAGGGGTGATCTTCACTTGGATTCTGATTTTGAATATACTGATTCTCAACTTGATCTAATTGTTGCCATTACACAAGGAAGGAGACGTAATGTAAATCAATATGGAGATGAACTGACAACTCGTGCTGTAAATAAGTCTAAACCTGATCAGTCGGTATCAAGAAGTATTGTCCAGATACAAACAGATGTTGAAACTACTCCTGCAGTTTTCACACGGAGAAGGCGCCCTGCAGCTGTAAAACAGTCGCCGTATAGGAATGACTAGCAATCTAGTGTTAGTGCAGTTGCGGGATCCTCGAAGGTTATCAAAGGAAGATTTCCATTTGTAAATGACATTTCAGTGGTTGTTGATTATAAGCTTACGGCTGCATTCTCAAACTTTGTCGAAGCAAACATGCAATTGGGAGAGTGCGTATTCATTTTCATGTACTTTTATTTTCATGTTTTCTTAATTTTGTTGTTGTATTTCTTATCCATATCTTCTTTTATATGAAATAGGGAAGTGTATTTACCTGGTGATCAAAAGCTAGACCCTTGTTTTGACTTTGAAGTTAAACAGATTGATGATAAGATGTTTTTCCATACCTTAAACTATTCTGGGAGGCCGCTGTCTAGTTCGGTATGTGTACTGCTTTTTACTTTTGTTGTTGTAGTAGTTCAATCATATTTTTAGTGTTAGTCATGTTTTCTTCCTCTCTTTTTTGCAGCACTTGAATATTATATTCTACTATCTTAGGAGAAGGCGAAATATGGAATTAATATGCCAATCAAAGTCACAACTACAGATACTCTATTTAATAATATCATTCAAACGGTTTTCATAGAATTTGAAAAAGGTGGGAAACAAGATCATTTGATTGATCGATCAGACGATATCATGGAGTACATGAAAGGATTAAGGATGTATTGCAACACTCCATGGCACCAGGTTGATCATATCCTTTTTCCAATTAATTTGGCAGAAAACTGGCATTGGATATTGGGGTGTGTATCATTCCACATGAGATGTTTTTACGTATATGACTCGCTACGTAGTCGAAAGCACAAAAAATCTATTCAAAAGGTGGCAGAGGCATATGCTGTGTTGATCCCCCTATTTCTAGTTAGCACTGAATTTTATAACCAAAGAAGTGACATTGTAGTACAAAATGGTCTGCACATGGGAAAGGAGTTGACTGATCCTTTTGAGATTGAAATGATTACAAATCTGCCAACACAGCAAAATTCGTAAGAATAGTTACTTTTTTTTACTTTGTTTTCCTCATTCATATTAACATTTTCACTTCTAATTGACTTTTATATTCTATTCATTTGTTTTATTTCAGAGATTGTGGAGTATATGTTGCATGCTTTGCTGAGTATATTATTGAAGATCTTCCAATCCCTGTTGCCGATTTTGATGTGGATGGTCTTCGAGCTAGGTTTGGTATACTGTTGTGGCACTATGGGAGGAACAAGCAGTTGCATGGCGAATCAAGTGAATCTGAGGCTCCAGTAGCACCTAAAAAGACTCGTGGAAAGAAACGCAAGAAGTAGTATAGGTCTCTTTTTGGTTTTAGTTAATCGTAGCATGAAAACTTTGCAGGATTTTAATAGTTTTTGATGATGTATGGTATTTTGCATTATTGTATTGTAAAAATGCTAGCTTTTAAAAGTGTTTTCTAGGAATACAATTGTAATAGTACAATATGTTGCTATAACTGTTTTGATGTTGGAATGTATCTTCAGTTTGTTTTATTAGATTTTTCTTAGGCTTCTTCCATAAAGTTGTTGGTTTAATAGGAGTGCCTTTTGGAGACAGAATTTTGTCATCACTTGAAGTCAAGCTATTAGTGTAGAACATGGCTGTTACAGTAGCACTGTTAGTTCTTACTACTACTTTCATTTGTAGTAGGAGAAGCATTATTAGTTCGCTGTAATACACAAGCAGAAGTTATTTTTGGAGGTGTATTTTTAAGGGAGTTACGATGTTCAAAAAGAGGAACTATGTTGTTATTTTGTTGAAGAACAGGGCGAGCATTGATTTGAATGAGAGAAATATTTTTAGAAAGTGAACTGGTCTTGAAATTATATTGAGAGTAGTTGTTAGTTGTAGTTGAATCTAAGAAAATCTGTGCATAATTTGCATTGCTGCACCAGTTGTATTCCGCAAAGATTTTGGTTCAGGTATATTAGTGCAGTAGAACTATATACCAATCAGGTATACTGATATATCATTTAGGTATCACGTTTTATTTGAGTACCTTTTTTGCTGCAGCAACTAGATGTAAGTACTGACATGAGTTGCAAAGCGTGCGCATTTTGGGTATGACGTTGTATTTGGTGCACCATTTGTATTTCTGCGCATATTTTGTTTTAGCCATATTAGTGCAATACCACTATATACCAGTGAGGTATACAAATATACCATTTGGATATCACCTTATATTTATGTACCTGATGATGTACTGCATGTAAATGGCTTCCAATTTGTTATACTTCAATACAGACATGAGCTGCAAAGCGTGCCCATTTTGTTAACGATGTATGTACAAATATTGCATTTGCGGCACCACTTCTATTTCTGCACATATTTTGATACGAATAAGATATACAGATATACCAATAAGGTATACAGATATACCACTTAGGTATCACATTTATTGTAACGACCCGGCCGGTCGTTTTTGGAATTTACGCCCCAATCCTCTATTAACTAGATTTAAATGCATCCCACTTTTGTATACTAAAATAGAAAATAAACAGGTTCTTCTTGAAAACACAAGTAGCCATATAAATTTGTTTCCAAAAAGTAATTTCGCAAAGAATCATCATACCAAATATATGTCTAGTGCAAGAAATGCATTTTATTTCTTTGCAATTCAAATGTTATGATTCTACGATATATGAGTTCTATGAAAATACTGAAGCATTATATCAATCTCTCTTTGGAATATTTCGGCATGTTCTCCAGTAATGTCCTTTTCTCCCGCATAGTGCACATGTAACTGTATTTCCTTCCCAGCCTCCTATGCCTTTCTTCTTTTTAGGTCTTCCTGGTTTGATTTTTCCTTTTGGTGGCAGTACCACCTGCGAAGAGACATGTTCTGGAATTTGCCACGTTGTTTCATCAGGCAAAGGATTTACTGGTATCTCATATGTTTTCAACAAGTACTCTATGCTATAGTAATCCGAGCAATACTTGTATAAATCCATATGGAATTTTTGTATAACTGCCATTGCATGTGGACATGGAATATCGTCTAGCTGAAACCTCCCACAAGTGCAGTCTTTTTTGTGTAGGCGCACCACATTTCTTGTTTGGCCATCAATTACTAAATGTAAGAATTCAGTTGATGGCAACACCTAGTATAATTTTAATTAAGAAAAGTCATTAGCTATACGAAGTAATAGTATTTTTCAAATAATAATATTCAGTTGTTTAGTGAAATCACTAAGGTAAAAAAGTAAAACTACAGTACATGCAGTATTTTTATGATTTTGAAAATACATACCGTCATCGTCTGTGATAAGATAGTATTATCTGATAATATTTTTTCATACTTTGCACCAATCTTCATAAATGATTCCACTGCATCCTTCCGATTGGTGTAATTCTATTTTTGAATCAATGTAGTCATAAATTCAAGCAAATTCACAACTGGGAGGTCTCTTGCGTGCTTATTTGCTGCATTTACTGATTCCGCAATATTCGATGTCATGGTCATGGTTCTATTTGCCTTGGAATGCGCCCGGGACCATTTATCATATCCAATATCCATCAGGTATGTTTTCACTCTACTATCAATAGCTTCTAACACTGCCATATGCCTGTTGAATTCTTCAATAGTGTATGCTCTTGCTAACGCAAAGTATACTTCTTTGATTTGTTTTTGGCTCTTCCTGAAGTTTGTCTTTATGTTGTTCCACAAATGGAACATACATGCACAATGAGGGACTTCTGGATAGACAATTGAAGTTGCTCTCCATATACCATCATGCATGTCTGATACAATGCACATTCTCTCTCTTTGTCCATAGGTTTCTCTGAACTGCACGAAGAACCACTCCCACGATGCATCATTTTCCGAATCAACAATTGCATATGCGAGGGGTAGAATTTGTCCTGTAAACCCAAAGAACAAAATATCAATTACAACACACTATATTAATTTAGCATTTCATATAGTAGTATAGTCATAGGTAGGTGCAGGTGTGTAGCAAAATAACTATATACTCTGTTGGTATACTTGTATACCATACTGGTATCATATAATTTTTGAAAATCTTTTTTGTTTCTTTAACTGAATGTAATTGGATTGTACACACAATATTAATTTAGTATTTCATATAGTAGTATAGTCATAGGTACGTGCAGGTATGTAGCAAAATAATTATATACTCTGTTGGTATACTTGTATACCATACTGGTATCATATAATATTTGAAAATCTTTTGTTTCTTTAACTGAATGTAACTGGATTGTATTCTTACCCTCTGCGTCTTGCGTGGAAGCCGTGAGTATGGTCCCTCTATATGTTGACTTTAAAAAACTTCCATCAACTACAACTGTTGGCCTACAATAGACCCATCCTCTAATCGATGCATATATAGCTATGAATGCATACAAGAAGCTCCCATCTCCTTCAGTGTGTAGTCGTGTCACTGATCCTGGGTTAGCGTACTTTAACATATAAAGATATGTTGGCATTTTCTTGTATGACTCGCTTGGTTTTCCTCTCAACAATTGCATTGCTTTTTCTTTTGATCTCCACGCTTGCATGTAGCTTAAGTCCATACCATATGCTTTTTGGATGTCTATCTGGATATCTGTTGGTGTATATATGCTTTTCGGGTCAACAAGTTTATCTTGTACCACAGCTGCAACAAAAGCTGAGACAGCTTGCTTTTGTGAACAAAATCTCTTATCAGTTAAATAACTGTGGACAGAATTGAAATCCGTCACTTTGAAAAGATTTGATGCTCGCAGGCTTGATGCCTTAAGTCTCCAAGTGCATCTTTCATCCACGCATTCAAGGATATACCTGTTTATAATACAAATACAGTTATGTATCATGTTTTGTCGATAAAACACACACAAAAATCCGTACAATTATATAGTCACATAGTATACTCTGTTGGTATACTTATATACTGTATCAGTATCATATTTTGCTGATAAAAAACATAGACAAAGCAGCACAATTCCATACTCACATAGTATACTGATTTAGCATACATATATACTATATTGGTATTATGTTTTACTGATAATAACAAAGACAAACCAATACAGTTATATACTTGCATAGTATACTGATATAGCATACTTATATACTATACCAGTATCACCGATAAAAAACACAGACAAACCAATCCATACTCGCATAGTATACTGCCTTAGCATACTTATATACTATATAGGTATCACATAGTTTTTTAACTTGAAAACATGCTGACGAACCTTCTTGGGCATGATTTATGAATCCAATATTGACATTTTTCTCTAACGGCATACTGTTTCATAACGAGAGCCAGCAGGTTCTTGTCTTTGTAAATTTGTCCTTTTTCAACATTTTGATGAAATTGATCAGTTATGATGTTTGCATCATCAAGTTGTAAAATGGCGTCATCTCCTTCTTGCACATCAAACGTACTAATCATATCAGTGCTTTCAAATTGTGCAATTTCTGATGAAATTGGAGCAACATCGAAACTGGAGGTGCTTGCAGCTATAGTGTTTTTAGCAAACGACACACACAGGGGAAGTGTTGTCATCCCTGCACTTGATTTTTTCAATTCCATGTAAACACTAACACTCATATCGCTGCAAATTGTAATTGGTGGATATCCTTGAGCAATAGCATACTGAATAACTATTGTGTTACTGTCCTTTTGCAGTTGCTTTGCAATTTCTCTGAGAAGTTGTTCAAATTTCCAATAGGTCTTTATTAGAATTACATCAACATGAAAATTTATGAAATTATTGTTATCATCCCATTCTCCACTATGCTGCAGCAGAATTGGTATATTTTCCATGATTCTGAAGTTATAATCACTTTTATGTCCACAATTGAATCTCAACAATGCAAATTTCAACAGTGTTGATGTCAAATATTGAATTTCAACAATAGATTTTTCGAAATCAAACTTCTAGATCTCCAGATCTCCAAACCGAGATTAGAATTTTCAGCTAAAAATTCAGAAGTTTGAGCGCTAAACTTCTGTAATACTTATAATTTTTGAGATTCTGCTCTGCCAGCTAAATCAAAATCCGAAAACAACAGGGAAATCAAAATCTCAAAACAACAGCGAAATAAAAATCCGAAAACAAGATGCGTATCAGCATCTTCAATCTGTTTTTTCACACTTAGCGATCTTCAAATTAGGGAATATCTGTGGAAATCTCAATTTTGTGCGCTTATTTTCTGAAATTTTGAACAGCTTTTGGATTTTTATAGTTAGGGCATTAAGCGTGGGTAGTTATTTTGATATTCCCGTTTATTTATTAAATGGGTAGGAGATAGAAATTATTTAATGGGTAGAATTCTTTTATGGGTAGGGTAGGATAAATAGTTTCACTTTTATAGGTAATCCTGTCTTTTTCCCATGATTATTCAGTTGATACCTCAGTTGGATTCGCTGGTAGAATCTAGTGTTTCGAAATCTCGAGACATATATATACACACACAAAAGATAAATACATATTTTGGGAATTGCACTTTCAGAACCCACAACGTCTAAATTCTAAAAGATTGTTGCACCTGAGTTTAATATATTCAATCAATATACAGCTTCTTTGAATAAAGATAGGAATCTCCAGATCTCTCGCAATACCCACCATTACTGAGTCATTAGTTGGGCCAATAACGACTTCCTAAACTTTGCAGTTTGCTTGATTTTTTCATCACTTCATTTCATACTGCAACTGATTTGGAATAAGCAATTTGAACAACCTCAAAGTAACATAATAAATGGACATGCAGCTCAGATCCAACAAGTGATGGAAGTCCATAAAATGCTTCTTTATAAAAATGCCAAGTTGGAATACATACTTTGAAAACTTTAAGCACATCAATCTTTTCAATGGGCATTTTAAACCCCAGATAGAAGGTTCCCCAAAATTTAACTTGATCTATCTAACACTAGAACTATCAAAATCAGGCGACCACTAATAGCCTCTCAACTCTCAAGTGACTGTCTCAAAGGCCTCAAGCAGAAACTGCTGCCTTCTTCCTTGGAGCTGCTTCAGTACCTGGATGGAAAAGAGTTTAAAGTTTATTATTATTGCACAGAAGTCAAGACAGATACTCTTGATCATCAATTGGCAATGCCTAAACCAACAACTTAGCCGAGCTAACAAAGGGAAGATCATTCTGAATTCTAGATACACATCTTTCAAGTTCAATCAACCCAGAAAACCATCTAGCATTCTGGTTGTGTGAAGGCGTGATTTTGAGAAATTTTTTACCTTGAAAATTATGTTCTAGATCATCTTCCAGCATTCAATTGGATACTAAACCAAGTGACAGATTATACGCACTCATACCAGGTGCAACACAAAGTATTACTCCCACATTTATTGAGTTGGATAAGTACAAAAGCTCTAGTAGATATATCTTTTTTATGACCTAGAAATCCATATGGAGCAACCCTAAGGGCCAAACAAAGTATTCAAATCTCAGGGGATAATTGATTAAGGGTTGAAAACAATATCTAAAATATTTAAGCATGATGTACATTTGCAACGTAAAACAACTTTTGCTAAGTGAAGGTTTAATAATCTTCCCGCTTTTAATAGAGGAAAACATTCTTAAGAATACAAAGTAACTAATCACTGGAATAATCACTTGAAAATGATTTCATAAATGTTGTAAAGAAGAATTCCACGATACAAAAGACACACCTAATTCTATATGTAAATGTAAATTAGACCTGTAAAATGCAGAAACAAAAGAACTTCCCAGCATAAAGGGTGTACCTTCTCTAAAATTGGTTTTGAACCTGCGAGGGACGTTTCGAAGATACCTCATGCGGCCAGTTCCAGTTGTCTTTCTGCGAATTGCCTTCACACTCCAGTTGTCTGGAAATCCATTCACACAAAACAAGTTCAAATCATATCAGATGATTGATATATTGGTAATTAATATTGAAAAGCGAAAAAAAGAAGGGAAAAAGCATTACATGTCCTTTTACGGGCAGCAGGGTAAGCACAAGCAGAGCAACGGCTCTTCTGAAGATGGAAGCTCCGTCGCCCACACCTCACACATAGTGTGTGGGTCTTGTTCCTCCTCTTACCAAAACTCCCTGTTCCCTTCCCCTATAGTACAATAATCCACATTCACTTACACATCACCTTTTGTAGACTTACAAAAACATATGCCTATTTATGTAAAATTTGAACCATTTTTTGATTTGTTCATGTCATCGTTTCATTTTCTCGTATCGTTCCAATTTTATAAGATGTCAACATATACGTTCACAGGAAAAAATATGAAAGAAACAATAGGATAGAGGTAAACAGAGTTAAGGAGTTTAGCTTTACTTACCATTGCACTGTAGTTGGAGAGACCCTAGCGACCTCCTCCTGAGCTCTTTCGACTGAGACCTGCGGCGATCTAGGTAGTGCTTCTAGTTGGTAGTTAACAAGGAAGAAAGATTTTAGGGTTGTGCAATGATGATGGGCTTGAATACGGCTGAAAGTAATTGGGCCAAATTAGCATTTTGGGTGGGCGAAGTGCACAAATAGCCACTTGAAGGACCGTCTATCATATAGCAAAGGTTGATACCTTATTTATTTTAAATAAATACCCTTTTAAAAAAATTATATTTCATAGCTACTTTTTGATTTTTATAGCCAAACATCTATTTATGGTCACCTCGTACCCTTAAGCCATAAAATAAGCTTCGTATATTTTTCTCTCTCCCCTCAAATTTCTCGTATCCCCTCAAATCTTCAGCCGAGGATCCCCTAAAAAAGCTGCCCACCCCCAATCTCTCACCAACCAGCAGCCACATCTCGTTCTCATTCTCTTCAATGGAGGATAGATCTCCTCCTTGAGAGAGCAGCAGTCGTCATTCCCATTCCCCTTCTCCAAGAACGCCCAGCACTCCACCCCTCACAAACCTGATCATCCGCCCACCTTCCTAAGAGAGGATCATCATCCTTGAATTCGAAAAAGAAAGATGATAACAGCCCATTCCATTAACAACCTCCAGTCGCCACCCCAAGAAAAAGGAACGAACAGCAGCTATAAAAAAATAGGAACGAAAGAAAACAGAGCATCGACATAAGTGAAAATACAAAGATGGAGAAACAGAGTCGAAGTCGTCGTTGATATTGATGCTGCTCAACCTCATCGCCTCCGTCGAGACTGTGGACTACTGATGGTGGCTCCAGCGGCTTCAATTGTAAAGAATAGGTTTTTTGAAGCGCACGTGAGGGTATTACAGTAACAGGAACAGTGGCGTTTCGAGTCAGAATCGCGGCCCTCTCGACGAGACAACATTAGGGTTGTTCTTGAACGAAGACGACGGAGTTTGGGGCTGAGCAACTTGAATTTTCTGTTAATATATTCCAATGTATCTCGCTGTATTTTCGTCTATTTCATTATATTCACTGTCTTCTTTTTTCCATTGTATTTCAATGTATCTCGCTGTATTCCATGTATTTCATTGTATTCACTATCGTTGTATTCCATGGATGTATTCATATATTTTTTAATTAATATAATTTATGTATTCAGATGTATATAGGTATTTAAATTGCTCTGTTTTTGTTGTATTTATCGGCTGGGAAAAATATTCAGCATATTTTCTCTGAAAATTGCTATGTTTTTGGGGTGTTTTTCGGTTGAGAATCTTTTTGTCACGACCCAAAATTCACTAAGGGTCGTGGTGGCGCCGGACACCTCTGTCAGGCCAGCCAACTAGATTATCAATTAATTCCTCTTTTAATACTTTTGAAAATCTAAGGTTTTTCCTTCCATTTTCATAAATAAAAGTTCACTACTTGAATTCAAATTTAATAATAACAATTAGTACAAATTCGTTGAAATCCATCCCAGAAACCCGGTGTCACAAGTACATGAGCAACTATCGATAAGGAAAGTAAAATACAACATCTGTCCGAAATACAGTGGACAGGGAATAAACAATAAAATGCTGAAAGGAACTACACTGGCTGCGGGTCGTCTCGAACAATGCAGCTCACCTAGTCCCAGAGTTGTCCGTGCTGCTACGCCCAATAGGCTGCTAGAGGTATATATACATGTTCAACAAAAATGCACAGAAGTGTAGTATGAGTACGTAATCAACGTGTACTCAGTGAGTATCCCGCCTAATCCCGAAGGGGTAGAGACGAGATGGCCAACTCCGACACTCACTAGAGGTCAATTAACAATATTCTATAAGTGCGAGGAAAATCATGGATTTGTATAGAAGTTCTGATTGTGAAGCCAGAAAAACAGGTAAACACCTTCAACAATAAATCCAGGGCTTCTAAAGTTTGTTCTTTATTATCTTATCAGTTTATATCAAGCCACGTAGGGCCAATTCCACATTTACAATTTTCAAGTAACAGATAAACACGCGCAAATCATGCCGAGGTCGACGGCCCGCTCCAACAGAAATGTAAATTGTGCACTGCCGAGGGTCGAGCAGCACGAACCATAGATGCATCTATTCTCACCGAGGCGTTCGGCCCGTTCCATAAATAAACACATATCCTGCTTGCGGATCATCCATGCGACGCAGGCACACATAAAATACATGCTCAATCAGTCAAATAAGAACTTATCGGGGAATATTTATTCAAATAAAACCAATTCTCCTTTAACAATTCAAGAAATGAAGTTTAATCCTTTTAAAAATTTACTTACTAATTCGATGTGAGTTAAACAATTCGAGCTACCAATGGGTTCACAATTAATCCACGTGCAACATGCTTTTGGATTCTCACTACCCGGACAATAGCATAATAGTAGCTACGCACGGACTCTCGTCACTTCGTGTGTACGTAGCCCCCACAAATAGGATCACATAATCAATTACTTCACCTATGGGGTAAATTTCCCCTCACAAGATTAGAAAGGAGACTCACCTCGCTCCGAAGACTCAAAACCGGCATTCTACATTCTTCCGAGGACTCCAATTGATGCACCACGCTCCAAGACTAGCCAATGGTTACGCAAATCCATTAATATATGCTCAAATATTCATTACAACTAATTTATAGCAATTCCTAACCCCGATTGGACAGTTGACCAAAACTCCCTCGGGCCCACGTGCCCGGAATCCAAAACTTTTCGAAGATAAAGTTTACCCATAACCTTAGGAACTCGAATATATAATTTTCTCTTAATTCCATACTCAAAATCGTAATCAAAATCCAAGATTTCTAATTTCCTAGGTTTTCAACCAAAACCCCAAATTTACACTAATCTTCATACTTAAATCCATACATAATTGATATATTTAACGCAAAAGTGATGGGGATAACTTACCTTGACATTGACGACGAAAATCCCCTCCTTGAAGCTCTCCAAAATCGCCCCAAGCCATGAGAAATATGAGAGAAATGGTCAATCCCCGACTTTAAATTAACCTTCTACCTCCAGGGATTTTCGCTTCTGCGGAATTAGTCCCGCTTCCGCGGTCCCGCTTTTGCGGAAAATATTCTGCTTCTGCGGTCCCTGGGCTCAAGCCCATTTTCGCTCATGCGATAAGCTAACCGCTTCTGCGGTTCTGCATCAGCGGATCAAGGGCCGCTTCTGCGGTCCTGGCTGCCCTCGCCCTCGTCCGCTTCTGCGACTTCTTCTTCGCTTCTGCGGGGCCGCTTCTGCGGTCCTATTTCCGCAGAAGCGGAAATACCAGATACCAGCTGCCTCAGCACTTCTTCAAACTCCGGATTCGATCCGTTAGCCACCCGGAATCAACCCGAGGCCCCCGGGACCCCAACCAATCATACCAACCAGTCCCAAAACACATTACGAACTTGCTCGAGGCCTCAAATCATAACAAACAACGCTAAAACCATGAATTACACCCCGATTCAAGCTTTATGAACTTTGAACTTTCCAACTTCTATTTCCGATGTTTAAACCTATCAAATCACGTCCGATTGACTTTAAATTTTGCACACAAGTCACATTTGACATTGCGGACCTACTCCAACTTTCGGAATCGGATTCCGACCCCGATATCAAAAAGTCAACCTCCGGTCAAACTTCTCAAAAACCTTCAAATTCTAACTTTAGCCAAATGACTCCAAAATGACCTACGGACCTCCGAATTCACTTCCGATCGCGCTCCCGACTCCAGAATTACCATACGGAGCTATTCACAGACTCAGAATCCCAAACGGACATCGATAACACTGAAATGCACTTCAAGCCAAACTTATGAAATTTTTTCCAAAATGCTAACTTCCACAATAGGCGCCAAAACGCTCCCGGGTCATCCAAAACCCGAATCGGGCATACGCCCAAGTCCGAAATCATCATACGAACCTGCTGGAACCTTCAGATCCCGATTCTGAGGTCGTTTACTCAAAAATCCAATCCTAGTTCATTCTTTCAACTTTAAGCTTCTCAAATGAGAATTTTCATTTAAATTTAACTCCGATCTGCCTGAATTTAAATTCCGACCATGCGAACAAGTCACAATACCTGAAATGAAGCTGCTCATGGCCTCAGACTGCTGAACGACGCGCTAGGGCTCAAAACGACCGGTCGGGTCGTTACTCTTTTTTATAACTGGAAATATAAATTTTTGTGTTAAACTTATGTTTGTTGAGTTATATTAGGAGTCTATTATGTTAATTGATTCACTTTTCGTTTAAAAACAACTGAATACACCATGAACTTGCGCTATTTACGTTACTGTATTCACAAATACATATCGTGAATATAGTCGAATACAATAATTTGTCTAGTTGTAATCCCTTGTTTCACGCCGTGAATACAGTCGAATACAAAAATCTATCTAGTTGTAATCCCATGTTTCACGCCTAGAAATGCTACTGTATTCATGAATACAGTAGCTTAAATACATCGAATACACTCTAAAAAATCTGAAAATATAACTATAGGAAGTAATATAGTAAATGGTAGATACAACTAGCTAATAAACACTAAAACATAGTGGTTTCTGAAAGTTTCTCTATACAATTTAGTCGAGATTTACAAATATTTAAATTTTAGCCACATTAGAATCAAACTTCAGCCCTTTAATGAAGTTTTAAACGTTGGAAATTGAATGGCAGTTCGAACTGGCGGATTCAGAACTTTGAGCCTATGGGCTAATGTTTAAAAACGCCCACCCAAATTTCTGAAGTTGAGAACTAGGCAAGCCTAATTTTTAATCTCAAGTTTGAAGTTTGTCCCCGTCAGGCTAAGAAGTTTTGTATGATTGAAATTCAATTTTAAAAAAATAACCACTGCAAATCAGTATGTAAAATCGAATTCCATGTGTTTTTGCAAGAAACTGAGGCAGTACATTGGCACTGCATCGAGCTTCACCAGCGATAAGTTCAAATACAAATCACAAACATTCGGTATTTACATAATGATTTATAATGTTATTGTTTTAAAATGAGTTTCATATTGTATAGGGTAAAATCGGTTCATATTAAATACTCACATAATAGAACGGCACGTG